GGGAGATGGGGAGGAGAAGCGGAGCAGAACTGGCTGTCCGAGAGGGGATTGGGGGAAGTGGGGCTGGCCGGAGGCGCAGCAGGGGGAGCGACTGACCCAGCCATATAAGGAACTCGGGGTGCTGCCCCCCTTTCCTCCCCACAAAGCACAAGTGAGTCCGGCCCAGGGATTCTATTGTGCCCCCCACACACCACCTCAAGTAGTTGCGAACTGGCTGGCTGGTAGACATGCAGTCTGAGCACATTTACCGGCCAGGCAGTTCAAAACTACAAACTGATACATCTAGTAATAATAAAACTTACCTAATGAGAAAATACCAGACATGTTATGTTATATGTTATATGTCTGGTATTTTCTCAGTTTGTTTTTTATGTGTTTATATTTTTGGGCTGCAAAAAACAATATAGAAAAAAAAGGGTTCCAACTAAAGTAAAAAGTTTGGGAAACCCTGGTCTAACCAGCTTTCTGTCTGTCTTACACTCCATTTATCCAATCCATATTCTTTAACTTGCTGGCAAGAATATTGTGGGAGACTATCTCAAAAGCTTTGCTAAAGCTGGCACTGGGGGCTTTGAGAGGACCAGAAACAACTTATTGGAATATTCATCATTTGATTAATGAATATGCAAATGAATGTTCCCGGTCCTCCAAAAGTTCGTGAATGGATATACTGGTCCCCGTGTCAAAAAGTTTGGCAACCCCTGTCTTATTGCCTCTAAATAAAATCATAGTATTCCCACATCTTGTATACTGCATACAGATGTGGTTGCCTCATCTCAAAAAAGATATATTGGCATTGGAAAAGGTTCAGAAAAGGGCAACAAAAATTATTAGGGGTTTGGAACTGGTCCCATATGAAGAGTGATTAAAAAGATTTGGACTATTCAGCTTAGAAAAGAAGAGACTAATGGGGGATATGATAGAGGTCTATAAAATCATGACTGGTGTGAAAAAAGTGAATAAGGAAAAGTTTTTTACTTATTTCCACAATATAAGAACTAGAGGTCTCCAAATTAAATTAATAGACATCACAGGTTTAAAACAAACAAAACGAAGTTTTTCTTCACTCAGTGCACAGTCTACCTGTGGAACGCCATACCAGAAATCTCCACAATGGCAGTCTGTTCAATGGGTGCCTCCACCGATGTCCGCGCCACTTCACTGGCCCTGCTGGCACCCCTGAGCTATGTACAGAGCTCAGCATCCTCAGCCTCCTCAACAACCGTGTCCAACTCCCAGATCAGAAAGCTCTCCAGCCCTGTCAGCCCACTGTGGGAACCAAGCCACTCTGCACCAGCCCTAAGTTAACCAGTTAAATGATTAAAATTATATCATCTAACCCAGGGGTGGGCAAAAGGGCCTCTGCGGGCCGAATCCGGCCTGGCAAGTGGGTTGATCTGGCCTGCGGGTGGGGGAGCATGCAAAGCCTCTTCCTGCCCTGTCAGGGGCATGGGTGCCTAGTCAGAAGGTGGGGAAGAAGCATCCTGGCCCTGCCCCTTCGGGGGTGGACCAGGGCCACTTCAAAAATTTTGAAGTGGCCCCCAGCCAAAAATTATTGCTTATCCCTGATCTAACCAGTTAACTTTTGAAATGGGTATTTACATCCTTATTGCCTACTGCTAATTAAAAAGACCTGATTAACAGCTTTAAGTAAAGAACAGACATCTAATGCTGGATTCTACCATTCTTAATCCAGCAAAAGTCCTGCTGGCAGTGAATTTGCTTAAGGACAGAGATATAGGCTTCTATGCTACAAAATCCTATTAAGTACCTCTACTACGGGACAGAGTTGCACTGCTTTAACTCTACACCAGGGGTCAGCAACTAGGGAGCTAGCTCCCCCAGGCAGCAGGGAGCCAGTGCTGGCACTACAGCCTTACGGTCCCCCGCAAGACTGGAAGACCAGCACCGGCTTCCTGTGGGGGTAGGGGAGGGGGGAGGCAGGGGGAGAAACCTCCCCCTCTCCCCACTGGATCCAGCATGCAGGGATCAAGTGTGGCTCTGTGCACTGCCCTTTTCCTTCCCCTGGCGTGTGGGGAACGAGTGGAACAAAAAATGGCTCTGCACACGCTGCCCTTTTCCTTTCCCTGGTTTCCCCTTCCTCATAGTTTCTCCTGCAAATCCTTCCTGGAGGCTTCCTTACAGCAAATCAGAGCAGCGGGAGGCCATGTTACACGGTGCCTGCAATGTGGCCCCAAAACAAGTGCCCTCACACCTCCTGATGCCTAGACCCTGCATGCCCACCCCTTCACTCATTCCCCCCCCAGCCAGACACCCTTCCCCCAGCCCACTCCTGCCTCCTACCCAGACAGCCTGGCCCCAGCCTTCCTGCTTCCTACCCCCTGGCCAGACAGTCTTCCCCCAGCCCACTCCTGCCCTCTTCCCCCAGCCAAACACCCTGCCCCCATGCCGCTCCTGCTGCCTCCCCCCCAGCCTGTTGACTACTTATTCTGAATTTTGATGTGGTTTGACTCTTTGGTTTGAAAAGGTTGCTAACCCATGCTCTACACACTACTGGTGTGGTACAGTTAAAATTACATTAAAAATTACATAAAAGTGCTTGTATAGGAATTGCTTAATTACAGAAGAAACAGGAAAGGCACCTTTACTACTGCATGTACACAAGGGGCTATGCCAGTGTTTTGATTAGACTAATAAAAAAATTACTTCCCTAACCAAAATAGTTATAACTGGCACAGGTTGAATCTCTCTAGTCTGGCACCCTCTGGTCTAGCAACCTCTGTGGCCCGTCATGATTTTAGTTAGCTGGGAGTTCCGCTTCTCATGGATGTAGCCAAAGACTGTCCACTTGTATTAACTTATATGTAGGCACACTATATGTGCGATCCCTTTCAAGTAATGAACAGGTCAATATAGCTCTGGAAGAACTGCATCGTATTTGCATTGACATTCTTGCCATAACTGAAACTAAAAGAAAGAAGGAAGTTGTGGCAAAATAGAAGAATGGTTCACAAATTCTTCCTTCTACTGCTCCCAGAAAAGTTGGGGGAGTTGGATTTACTGTGCACCAAAGTTGTTTGCCAGCATCCTGGAAGAAGAACTGTGGAAGAGCGAAGTGAAAGATAGATTTCTCTTTGATGGCGAGGTTCTTCAGACGCTCCTTTTCACAAATGACATCGACCTAATTGCATCAAAACCTGAAACATTGCAAACCTTCCTCAATGACTTCAGTAAGAATGCAACTGAGATTGGCCTGAAACAAAGTGGATAAAAGACGTATATGGTCCAGAGTATGTCATGCAACTGGATGGACAGCTTGTTGAGTTAATGGATGAATATGTACAACTTGGACAAGTGTTGCGGATGGACGAGTTGGGCCCCGAGTTGAGGAGGAGGAGGTTGGGTTGGATTGCCTTTGGGAGTCTGTGCAGTGTTTCTGTTGATCTCAAACTTTCCACCACCATGAAAGCCAATCCACGGGTATCCAGGAGACAAAAAGAACAAGAGGAAGGCCCCCAGATTGTTGAGTGGATCCTCAATAGAAGATTCATGGAAGGACGCTGATGAGAATCGCACAAAACAGGATGACGTGGAAAAGTTGTGAACTGTATTGGTGGCAAGACTACCTGCATCGATGAAACCATGGATCTTTCAAGTATTCTAAGTGACTGCACACCACATATTTATCCCTTTTGTATAATAATTCATTTTCTTGATATACACCTAATGCGTTTTTTCCTACTTACTTATAGCTGTTAAAAGGAACTAGGGTCAGAGAGAGAATAAATATAATGTAGAGAATGTATTGTTCTTTATTTGCCTAAATAATATTGCAAAGTGCAATAATGCTCTACTAAAGCATGTGACAAAAAGAAAACTTTATTTGGCAAAGCAAAAACCAATAAAACTGAATTACATGAATAAGTGATGCAAATGAACAATTCCCGTATTTCTTACATGCAAAAAAAGGGCCCCCAATTCTGCTGTTTTTGCTCAGGCAAAATTTCCATGATGTCAGTGGGATTTATTGCCTAATTCAGTTCTGCAGGTATGGGCCCCATATTTATTTTTTTCACATTTTTAAAAAATATATTCTATTTGTTCATTGAGAATAGATTAAAAATACAGTATGCAGCAAGATCATTCCAAAAAGTTTGTCAAAACATACACTTTTCTCTCTCTAAAGGAATTTCATAAAATAAATTGTGCATATTTCTGTAAACATAAGTTTAATTTAAAAAATTGACTGTCATATCTGTTGCACATCTAACTATCCATATGATACCATGTTTTCACCAAGAAGTAATCTAAGTTTCTAACAAAATGTAAAATATTTGAAGACAAAGTATTAACAATGACAATATTTTGCCTGTTGAGCTGTATAACTTCATATGCCTCAAATCTACAAAGAAGTTTCTGTAATTATAACAATTACAGAATTCAATGAATTAACTGGCATGCCAAAAGGTGTTGTTAATTACCATCTTTGAGCCCTGTGTTTATATTTTGGATTTAAATACTTAGATCTCCTCCTCTCTCCATGCAAGTCAAACATGTTAGTTATATAAACTTTTTTGTAAAGGAAAATCACAATTGTTTTTGTACTTATACAATAAAAATATATTATTTATCTTTATTATTTATGTACATAGTGCTTAGAGTGTGCAAGGGGCTTGTATGCTATAAGCACATTTTAATTTTTTTCCTGTAGATATACATAAATGTTTGCCAATGTTCCACTATTTGCATAACTGCATGATGCAGCTGTCTCTGAGTGCTGGTATTTCCTGCAACTGTTTCCCAGTGAGAGAGAATGAAATGAGTAGCATTTCCTTAGTCATGAGTATGCTCACCCCAATCTATGGATCTCACCACCTTCTGTGCATCTGCACAGCAGATCTGCACCTGTTCCACTTCAAATGGAGCTCTGTGTATGCTATAGAGAAAGGGGTAGGATTTGCCCCTTAATAATCTCTGCAATTAGATACCTAAACTACAGTTTTCCATTAAGAACATCCCAGCTATCGGACTTTAAATAACAACTGATGATTCTCAGTGTATACTTCCCAGATGGCTGCAGGGAAGACCCACTCTACACACAAAAGCGAAAGATGTAACATTTTACTGACCCAATCCATCAAATCATTTAACCATGTGCTTTCCTGTAACCATGACAAAAGTCCCATGAAATAATGGGCTTCAATCAATCATATGCTTAAAGTTAAATATGTGCTTAAATGCTGTACTGGATCAACAGTAAATATTCAACAGTCTCGCCTTAATAATGACACTGTCATCCTAACTCTTCAATACTCTCAGGAGATGGAAAAAAGGACCCAGCTTGGAGCTATATGTGCCATGATGATAACATCTCAAAATAACAACTAAATAAATAAGACCAATAATAGATCCAGTTGCTGTACAGATGGCAAGGGACTCTTGAAATAAAACTGTGAGCTTAGGATAAGTTTCGGTCTTCAATGATATCTAGTAGCTAATGAGGTTTTTCTGCAATCAGCACAACAAATATGTTTTTATTTAACAAAACAGGATTACAAGACACTTTTTTTTAAAAAACCCAGATCCTCAATGTCTTGTGAAAAACAGAGATCCTGTAGCATATCTTACTGTGAACATCAGAGGGGGTCAAAACTCAGGTGTGCAATTACAGAATGTGAATCACTAGTACAACAAAGATTAGCTTTGTACCTTTAGGGCTATTATTTAGAAAATTAGTACAGTACACAGAAATTTTACTGAGATAAGGAGATTATTCAGTGAACAGTTTAAACCTACTGTACTGCAATTATAGTTTGAGTGCTTTTTATGTAACCTAACCAAGTTATTTGGAATAGAGGGATAGTAAATGTACATGCATGTCAGTTTCTCTAATCTGTTTACATGTTGCCATGTAGAAATGATTGGGAAGGGTATTTCTTAATGTTAAGTGCACTGAGAATGGATATTTCACTGTAAAAACAACTAAATGTTACCAAGAAATCAGTAGACTATAAACATTTTAGGGTACCTTATTGGAAGGATATTGTAAGTCCAGTAGGAACTTTATTGTATTAGGATAAGATACAATGCAAAATGTTGCAAAAAAAATTTCTCTATTTACGATTGAGACTGGTCTACAAAACGAAATCAGCTCAACCCAGCTACATCATTCCTGGGTGTGAAAAATTCACACCTGAGTGTTATCATTGACTTAATCCACCCCATCAGAATATGTAGTATGTACAATCTAGCACTATCACAGCAGCTATCCCCCTGTAACTTTTCCAAGAGTAGACTAGCTGCCTTCAATGAACTTTTGGCCCCATAATAGTCAATGGCATTTTGCCACAGATTTCAATAGAGGATTTTACCCTAAAACTGTGCTACATAAAAATGGCACTGCTATATTCAATGGACCAGTCCTCCCTGTATGCGTTCAGAGTTATAACTACTTTTCTGTCTGAAATAAGTTTTTACTTTTTTTCAGAGGCTATACAGATGTGGAAGAGGAAGCTAGAATGTCTTATCAAGAAAATTATTAGCTGAGATCTAACTGCAGAATGTGTATTATTGGTGATGAATGACCAAAAGAGAAACCATTTTGTATTTCAAGACTCAGCTTGTTTTTCAGGGCTATCCTTAGGAAACACATTTTTTACATTTGCAAACTGAGAAGACAGGCATCTGGAATCACTTCAGGAAGAAAACATAGGTGTCCCCAATAATATTTTTACAGAGAACTGCATTGTAAAGAGTATTACTAGCAGAATTCTATTCTGTTCACTCTGGTTCTTGATTTATTTCACAAGGGGGATTAAAAAAGAGAATTTCTGCATATGTTTACATGGAAAATGAAGAATTGCCTGAAAAAAACAAATACTAGTGAAGAAGTGCTTTGAACTTAGAAATGTGTGATATTTGTGGTGAGAGGACTAATAGTAGTAGAAAGATATAAACACACTGAATGCTTTGCTGCGTACAACAAAGTGTGTGCCACGCAAGCTGACATCAGTTTCATTTTTCTGAAATTAAATCAGGCCCCTCACAACTAACAGTTAAAAGTTATTAAAAAAATCAAGTGCACAGATACTGCAGCTTTGAAGTGTAGGTAAAAGTACATTATAGCACCCCCAAAATACAACATATATTTGTATATTTTCTGCCTCAGAATAAAGTTAGAAAATTAAAATATGAAAAACACAAATCATTAACAACACATAAAAATACATCTTGTTTTTTTTTTTTTTTTGCAAAGTAACAGTTTACAAGACACTTTTTTTTAAAAAACCCAGATCCTCAATGTCTTGTGAAAAACAGAGATCCTGTAGCATATCTTACTGTGAACATCAGAGGGGGTCAAAACATCCAGATCCTCAATGTCTTGTGAAAAACAGAGATCCTGTAGCATATCTTACTGTGAACATCAGAGGGGGTCAAAACATCCAGATCCTCAATGTCTTGTGAAAAACAGAGATCCTGTAGCATATCTTACTGTGAACATCAGAGGGGGTCAAAACATCCAGATCCTCAATGTCTTGTGAAAAACAGAGATCCTGTAGCATATCTTACTGTGAACATCAGAGGGGGTCAAAACATCCAGATCCTCAATGTCTTGTGAAAAACAGAGATCCTGTAGCATATCTTACTGTGAACATCAGAGGGGGTCAAAACATCCAGATCCTCAATGTCTTGTGAAAAACAGAGATCCTGTAGCATATCTTACTGTGAACATCAGAGGGGGTCAAAACATCCAGATCCTCAATGTCTTGTGAAAAACAGAGATCCTGTAGCATATCTTACTGTGAACATCAGAGGGGGTCAAAACATCCAGATCCTCAATGTCTTGTGAAAAACAGAGATCCTGTAGCATATCTTACTGTGAACATCAGAGGGGGTCAAAACATCCAGATCCTCAATGTCTTGTGAAAAACAGAGATCCTGTAGCATATCTTACTGTGAACATCAGAGGGGGTCAAAACATCCAGATCCTCAATGTCTTGTGAAAAACAGAGATCCTGTAGCATATCTTACTGTGAACATCAGAGGGGGTCAAAACATCCAGATCCTCAATGTCTTGTGAAAAACAGAGATCCTGTAGCATATCTTACTGTGAACATCAGAGGGGGTCAAAACATCCAGATCCTCAATGTCTTGTGAAAAACAGAGATCCTGTAGCATATCTTACTGTGAACATCAGAGGGGGTCAAAACTCAGGTGTGCAATTACAGAATGTGAATCACTAGTACAACAAAGATTAGCTTTGTACCTTTAGGGCTATTATTTAGAAAATTAGTACAGTACACAGAAATTTTACTGAGATAAGGAGATTATTCAGTGAACAGTTTAAACCTACTGTACTGCAATTATAGTTTGAGTGCTTTTTATGTAACCTAACCAAGTTATTTGGAATAGAGGGATAGTAAATGTACATGCATGTCAGTTTCTCTAATCTGTTTACATGTTGCCATGTAGAAATGATTGGGAAGGGTATTTCTTAATGTTAAGTGCACTGAGAATGGATATTTCACTGTAAAAACAACTAAATGTTACCAAGAAATCAGTAGACTATAAACATTTTAGGGTACCTTATTGGAAGGATATTGTAAGTCCAGTAGGAACTTTATTGTATTAGGATAAGATACAATGCAAAATGTTGCAAAAAAAATTTCTCTATTTACGATTGAGACTGGTCTACAAAACGAAATCAGCTCAACCCAGCTACATCATTCCTGGGTGTGAAAAATTCACACCTGAGTGTTATCATTGACTTAATCCACCCCATCAGAATATGTAGTATGTACAATCTAGCACTATCACAGCAGCTATCCCCCTGTAACTTTTCCAAGAGTAGACTAGCTGCCTTCAATGAACTTTTGGCCCCATAATAGTCAATGGCATTTTGCCACAGATTTCAATAGAGGATTTTACCCTAAAACTGTGCTACATAAAAATGGCACTGCTATATTCAATGGACCAGTCCTCCCTGTATGCGTTCAGAGTTATAACTACTTTTCTGTCTGAAATAAGTTTTTACTTTTTTTCAGAGGCTATACAGATGTGGAAGAGGAAGCTAGAATGTCTTATCAAGAAAATTATTAGCTGAGATCTAACTGCAGAATGTGTATTATTGGTGATGAATGACCAAAAGAGAAACCATTTTGTATTTCAAGACTCAGCTTGTTTTTCAGGGCTATCCTTAGGAAACACATTTTTTACATTTGCAAACTGAGAAGACAGGCATCTGGAATCACTTCAGGAAGAAAACATAGGTGTCCCCAATAATATTTTTACAGAGAACTGCATTGTAAAGAGTATTACTAGCAGAATTCTATTCTGTTCACTCTGGTTCTTGATTTATTTCACAAGGGGGATTAAAAAAGAGAATTTCTGCATATGTTTACATGGAAAATGAAGAATTGCCTGAAAAAAACAAATACTAGTGAAGAAGTGCTTTGAACTTAGAAATGTGTGATATTTGTGGTGAGAGGACTAATAGTAGTAGAAAGATATAAACACACTGAATGCTTTGCTGCGTACAACAAAGTGTGTGCCACGCAAGCTGACATCAGTTTCATTTTTCTGAAATTAAATCAGGCCCCTCACAACTAACAGTTAAAAGTTATTAAAAAAATCAAGTGCACAGATACTGCAGCTTTGAAGTGTAGGTAAAAGTACATTATAGCACCCCCAAAATACAACATATATTTGTATATTTTCTGCCTCAGAATAAAGTTAGAAAATTAAAATATGAAAAACACAAATCATTAACAACACATAAAAATACATCTTGTTTTTTTTTTTTTTTTGCAAAGTAACAGTTTATAAAAAATATTTTATATACAAGAGCTGCCTCATTTGAAGTTTCATTCCTCCATCATTGCCCAAGCTTCTTCAGCTTTCTGGTAGTACTGATTTGCCAATCTGCCCTTCATCGCTTGTATTGCTGCTTCTGCTGCTTCTGTGTACAACTCACCTAGAAAAAGCAATTTGAGAGTCATGTGAGTAGGTCAAAGAAAAAAAAGTTTCTTCCTCTCTACAAACCGCTGGAAGTTAAGAAAAAATAGAAATGGAGGTTAAGTTACAAGCCAGACTCTCATCTGATATAAATCCACGTAGCTTCATTGACACCAATGGAGTTATGCGGATTTAAATCAGCCAAGAATCTGGCACACAATGTTAAAATTCAGAGACAGGGCAAACCGCTGATATGACAGCAGAGTGATATTTTCTCATGTCCTTACAAGAATCATAAAAATGGAATTGGCCAGTAACCAGTTAAAAAAGTCTTACAAATTTTATGTGCAAACACAGAACCAATTAGAACTACATGCATAGAGATATCAAATGTTTGCTCTCTAAACTCCCACTGTAGTTAGTGGAAGCTGAGGGTGCTCAGTACTGCCAAAAGGGATTTGCCACACTGCAGAATTGGAGCTGGGTTAGTCCACTATCAAAGGCATCAGCAAAATATCCTTGGACAGTTTTGTCTCACATTAACTGGAGCCGTTACACTTTCATCTACAATCCTATGGCACTGGATAGCATATGGTCATTTTACAACCTGAGAATAAGCCAGCTCCTAAGTGTTTCTGGGGAGCTGCTGGGGGAAAAGAAAGTTGCCGACTCCAGGAGCCAAATGAGGATTCTTGCCTGCAGTGTGTCCTAACTGAACCTGCCTAGCCATTACTAGAACACTCCCTCTACCAATGGCTTCCACTTCTGTGCCCAGTCTTCTGCTACTACAGAGAAAGGGACACAGCTTAGGTAGAGAGGGACCAGCTGAGAGCACAGAATAATTATATGCAGGCAGCAAGGCTGCCATGATGGCACCATGAAACTGCTGGTCTGCTTGGTTGGGGCTTGAAGCAGATGGTCCACTCCACAGGGATCCACTAGTGTTCGTGTCAAAAGAAAAAGGTCAGGGATCCTTCAGGTGAGAGGGGGAGGTGAGGTCCCTTCTGGGTGAGGATGGAGATGAAGAGAGGGACTTGATGCCCAGTTCAGGCCTCAAACTTGAGAGACCAGGGTTCAAATTCCACTCCAGAACAGATTGTTTGAGTGACTCAGTTGCCCATCTATAAAATGGGCATAATAGCACTGCCCTTCCTCACCAGGATCTGGGGGCTAACAGAGCAAATCCATGCCCCCAAACCCACCCTTCAAAAACCTTTGCAAAGGCAGGTTCAATATCACCCAATGAGCGCCATCCTCATCACTCCCATAACCGCACTGGTTGCTGGGGCACCATCGTTGATAAGCAATCCACCAACTGACTCCACCCTCTGACAATTGTGTAGCAATGTCTGAATCTCCGCAAAATCCATTCCTGTCCTCCCTTCCATGTTGTGAATCCATCTCTTCTGTCTTCCTCTTCTTCTGTTCCCATCTACTGTCTCTCAGCGAATGACCTTGGATAGACCAGATGTTCTTGTTGCATGACCGTACCACTTTAGCTTGCGCTTCTTCAAAGTCATTAGGAGGTCTTCCTATGGGTGATGATGTTGCAGACCTCTTCATTAGTGAGGTGGGTGAAGTAAGATGCGCCCAGGATTTTAAGGAAGTATCTCATCTCTACCACCTGTATTTGCTGTTCAACTTCTGTTGTAAGGGTCCATGTATCAGACATATAAAAAAGTGGAGATGACCAGTGTGTAGCAGGTTCAGTCTGGATTCCAGAGAGATTCTCTCCAACTGGCTTTAGCTTTGCTACTGCTGCTGCTGCCTGTGCAGTTCTCGTCAGAATTGCCTTTACCAGTGATGACTGCTCCCAAATACTTGAACTGTTTCACGGTCTTCAATTCTTGTCTCAAAAGGGGTGGGACCTTGGGCAGAAGGGGCGAGGCTGGGGCAGTCAGCCCACAGCACAATCCAAACCACAGCATCTCCTGCCCCATGCTGCCTGATGTGCGCCACACGGTGCTCTGGCAGCAATGTAAAGGGCCCAGAGCTCCGGCCACTGCAGTAGCAGCAGAAACAGCCAGAAGCTCTGGGCCCTTTTGCATTGCTAGGCCCTGGGGTAACTGCTCCCCTTGCCTCCCGCCAGTGAGCCTAGTGATATGTGAGCTGATCCCATCACATCTGTCTGTCATCAGCTTGGTTTTCTCTGCCATGACGTCCATGCCATATTGTGTGGTATTGTGTATCAAGACTCATTCAAATATTAAAATAATGGACAAACTCACACGGCACTGCCGAGTACACCCATAGAAATGGACTGAATCAACATCTTACCTGATTTTTGTGGATCCTTGGCCAGGTGGAACCCTCCTGTCATTAACATCTCTGCTTCCCTTGCCAGGAGCAGATACCGGGGCTCATCCTGGGTTCCATCATATTCACCTCCTTCATCATAATCGGTCATATTCAGTGCAGCGTTGTACCAATGCAGAGCTTCGTTCCAGTCTTGGATTCTGATTTTTAAAATAATTTTTAAACAGGTTACCTCGGGAAGTAGTTTACTCTGGAGCTGTAGTGCTCCATCTTGCTAGGTACTGAGCACACTGACCCAATCAGAAAAGCACTTAAACATGTGCTTAAATTTAATCAGGTGTTTTGTTCCACTGAATATGAATTATGGGATCGAGACTCCTAATAATGAATGGCGCTAAATTCACTTTACATCCATTTGGGATTCACAGGAAAGAAATACTGGATTGCATGGGCTCCACAAGTTCCTATTGGTTTTGGAAGCTGCATTCTTGTACTCTCGGAGTTGAGCCTGTATGATTGCAAAGATAACATTAAACTGCAAATCTAAGTGCAAACTGAGATCTGTCTGAACCTTAAGAAATAGCTGTGAACTGCCCCATTCATTTCAATATGGCTATGTCTACACTACAGGGTTTTTGTCCAAAACCAGATGTTTGTGCGCAAAAATCCACGAAGCGTCCATACATCAAGCATGTTTTTGCGCAAGAAAATCTACAGCCAATTGACAGAACGGTGGACTTTTTGCACTGTAGGTATACCTCCTTCTATGAGGTATAACTCTTTTTGAGCAAGAGTTCTTGTGTAAAAAGGTATGTGTGGAGACTCAACAGGGGTTTCTTGTACAAAAAGAGCCTATCACAAAAAGCACAGGTGCTCTGATGGCCATTCTGTGAATAGCCATCAGAACTTTCTTGTGCAAGAGTGTCCATGCAGTGTGGTTGCGCTTTTGTGATGTGCTTTTGAGGTGTGGACATGCTTTTGCGCAAGACGTTTTTGCAGAAGAGCTCTTCTGCAAAAAGCTTTTTGTGCAAAAACCCTGCAGCATAGACAAAGCCTACGATGTTAATTCTTAAGCCTAACAATATTTAATATCAGCTTTGTTAGGTGTTTCATTGCTGATAAAAAAAATACGAAGAAATAAAAGGGATGATCATACCATGAAGATCTGCAAAATGAACTGCACAGTTGACTGAGCAGCATCTTGTTTTGGCATCTCAAGTGGGCAGAGTTTGGATTGTGGCTGGATCTTGGGACACTATCACAATTTTACTCACACACACAATCCCCCTAGATTCTCTGAATTGCTATATTAATGGGCTTCATCCAAAGGTTGGCATTATTAATAAGTCAAAAGGAAGCAGGACTGGAAGAGACCTCGAGAAGTCATCGAGTCCAGTCCCCTGCCCTCATCAATTCATCTAGATATTTGCCTAGTTTTACAACAGGTTACGTAAAAAGCACTAGCAAAGTTGCAAACTAAAGAAGAATGACTAATTTATACTGCTCTATACTGCTCACTGAAATGTAAATACAATATTTATTTCAATTGTTTTAAAATAAAATAATGCATTATTTTGAGACATCCCTTAACCCTCATGGAACGAGGGTTACTGGGATGCCAAAATAGCACACCTGTTATTTCAAAAAATATTTCAAAATATTGTGTAGACACTTGTATGGACCTCCGGTTTCCCGAAACAGACATGCAGTGTCGACTTCCCTAAGTGTCCTATGACATGAAACCTATAATATGCAAGACAAATTAGACTCTTGAAAGGGTTACAGTGGTCTGGAAAGGTTGAGAACCACTGAATTATAGTGCCAGCCACATGAAAAGAGATTTGCCAGTTTAAGACTTTTTCATATGTCACAAAACTTCAAATCATCCTTGATTTAAAATAAAGCCCATTTAAAAATCACATTCTCTGACATTTTTTGCTATTATGTAACAACTGGAAGGACAATGAATGAAAACAATTAAAAACATTACTCCTCTCTCTTTTCAATGTGTTTACCTTGTACATTTGAGAGCACAGTGTTTACGGACAGTTTTATTATTTTCCTCATATCAGTCTGTCGGTTTCCCCTGTTTGGGATTTTCATAATACAACAGGGAAGGAACAATGTTTTTTAAAATAGGAAAATGATGGTAAAACATCACCTGAAGTGGTTTTTAACTCAATTTTAAGTCATCACATTTCACACTGGCCATTTCTTGTACTCATTTTTAAATTGACCCTTCATTTTTGAGGACCTAGCCCTACTCCCATGGAAGCCTTTGGCGGTTTTACCTTTGTTCTTAGAGGAAAAAGCCTCACATTTTTTAAGGGAAAAAGTTAAAAAACAAGAAATAGTCTTTAAGGTGCTACTAGTCTAACAAAATATGTAGATGGTTATCATGAGTTTTCGTGGGCACAACCCACTTTGTCAGATGGCCATGGGGAAAGTTGTTACAGTGCAGTGAGCTTAAGCAAGCCCCACTTAAGTATTAGTGGAAAATCCTGCTGGCTGCTTGTGGTGAGGAATTCAGACTGCTACATGTATTCATTAGTCATTGCCCCTGGAGAAGATATGCATCCCAGGGTTATTGCTGCTATTCACAAATACACCAAAGTGTCTTGACTATCAGGGCCACATTCAAACATGCGTACACAGCTGATGTTCACATCAATAGGACATGCACATAACTATCCAAGAATAGGATTTGTGTCTCAATCTGCAGAATTCTTCCCTTCTGTGATGGTGATAACACCCAGATTCTGTTCTCATTTATACTAGTGTAAATTTGAAGTATATCCATAAAATTCAGTAAATAAAATAATAGCTAGCACTCTTATAAGTGAGAGTCCTGCAATAAAAGAATCTCTGCATAGGCAAGCAAACATTCTAACCTACAATAAGTTATTTATTTCACACACACGCTCACATGCTCACACATAGTACCTGTTTGAACCAAGATTTACACCTGTATCATATGCTCTTGCTACCAGAATCATGGAAGGCCGGTCTCCAGCTTCTGCTGCTCTCAGTAAATAATCAAATCCTTTGATTCGGTTTTCCTGTGTGTCCTTTGAAGGCAAAAAGCACAAAAAATGCTAAAATGGATAGATCGAAAATGTCATCGTTCCCTCCCTCACTGAGCTGTAGGTACAACCCCCACAACCCCAAATGAAGTCACCAAGAGCTGCAAGTCTTCAGCACTTTTTAAAAATCAGGTTCAAAGTGTGCGAGTTGGGCACCAAAAAGAGAGGGACCCAAAATCAGAGGCCAGTATTGAAAATATAGGCCTTGGTGAGTTATCTAGTGCCAGAAAATTAATCTGCAGCAAAGCCAGGAATAGAAGCTCTTTATCTTGTTCCTACTTATATGCTGTAATCATAAGACTCCCCCCCCCCGTTCTTCCATCCAGATGAATGCCTGGGATACGTCAATGAATATAATATTAGTATTATCACCGGGCAGGAGGATTTGCTCCTCCTGTTCTAGGCAGAATACTTTGTATTTCAGCATTTCTGTACCTCTGAAGTGAGCTCTGAAAGAATGTGATGTGGCAGCTGGGAGTACATGAGTCCTAATCCAACAATGGCTTCTAGTTCTCCACAATCAGCAGCATGTGCCAGGTGAAAAAGAGCGGATTCCTGATCCCACTCCTGATCTTTCTCACAGAAACGTCCAGCTTCGTGGTAGCGAACCATGGCTAGGTGCACCTACAACACGCCAGGAGTGACATTTTAATTTAGAAAAGATAACAAGACATGCCAAGAGTGGTTCTAATGCAGCAAAGCATGTGTGTGCTTAATATTACACATGTGAGTAAGCCTTTGACCTTAATGGGACTATTCATGCTTAAAATTAACCAGGTGCTTAACTGTTTTGCAGACAAGTATACGGGGCAGGGAGAAAAGGAGGGGGAGGCAAAGAAAGCAAGTGATAATGCACAAGAATGTGCTTGTGAAGGGATCCAGTTTGATAATTTTGAGGATTAAGAGATTCTGTTTTGTCTACAAAACAGATATAGGATAGCCAGCAGCAACTGTAAATCTCGCTTACACAGTGTCTCTAGCAAATGGAGTCCTGCAATCTGGTTTCCTATAGGCCACATGCTTTCTCTTAGTCATATGCCCTTCCTGTTTTAAAGGGCCCAAAGGCTGTAACAGGTGCACAGACACATGAACATGGACCCCAACACCCAGCTCTGTTAGATTCCCACCAGGTCACAGTGAAAGGCATGATGAGGCAAGGTGGTGGAAGATTACGTGACAGCTGCCTTCTTGCAGACCTGGGTCTTTCATGAGGGGAGGGAGAAGGACTCCATTCCATTTTATATAATTTTGAGCTATTTAAAATCTTCTTTTCAGCAATAAACTTCCCTTGAGGGACATGGAAATGATCTTGAGGATCTGAGCTGTTCGTAGACTGCACTCATCACTCAATGGGTTATGGACTCACCCTAACAACATTGCTCTTTGCCTGTCTGTACCATGCCCAGGTCATCGAGGGGGCCGCGGTTACTCTATAGACAATAATAAAATATACTTCTTAAGTTAAAAAGAACAGAGCCATCAACACCTTCCCAAGGATGGATTTCCCAATTTTCTTTTCAAGTTCCAGTGCATTGAGTCTCTGAACTTCCACTGCAACACAGGACGGTCTATGGATGTGGACTCTGGAAGAGTTGTAGAGATTCCATTTCTCCACACTGACCTAAAAAACCCACACACTTATATTATAACTTGCACTTGAAATAAAAAGGCATCAAATCATTTAACTATGTTATCCGTCAAAAACTGAAGAGTCTGTTTGAGCTACTGTTTGACTAGCAAATCTTTTAGAGGACTGCTTTAAAAAGCCACGTTAGTAGTTACACAAAAATATATTCACTTCTCTCACCAAAATCTCAGAGCAGCTGTCCATCTCTAGGTGCACTTAAGGCAGTAAACAAAATTACTTTTGCATTTTGCAGTCCTAAAAAATTCACAGCAGCTAAAACAAAGCACCACAGTTAGGTTTTGCTAGATCAGGGCCTACAAGCAAGTGAACTTCAAGCAAGTGAACAGTCCTGCTGCAGTCAATGGGGTCAGCTATTCATGCTTATAGTTAAGCATATGTGCCCATGCTGGGCTGGATTAGGGATTTGAATAAAAGTATTTTAGATATTGCTCATGCTTAGCAGTATCAGGAGAAAATGAAAAGCATCTCAAAAACATGCTATGGACTCTGGGCTACTGTGCTCTGGTGTTTGCTAGATAGATCCAATTCTAACTATAAGTAAGGTGCTGTAATGCTTCTTAATAAACTGAAATTTTTCACAACCATGGGTGGATGGGAATCATTGGCACAATACAAAACCAAAAAAAATATCTCTATTAGAGAAAATATTACAAAATATGTTTAATGTAGAATTTCAGCCCATTAAAATTGTTTCAATTTCCTTCAATGCAAGCTGACCACATTGCAAAAATCCTGAAATTCTAATTAGCATCTTTGTAGATACCTGATTGCTGTCAAAAATCTTTTCCTTTTTCTATACAGCATAACATCTTTGTTTTATTTCTGTAAACCACTGAATGTCTTTGATAGATTGTTATAAAAGTTGCATTTTGTAAAAACATGAAAGATGATACTTCATTTTTAAAAACAGAGTAAATTGAATAGCACTAACAGCTATTTCAACATACTTCAAGAATTGTGGGCTTTCCAAAAAACACCGTCCAACCATGTTTGTGCAACAAATATAGCATGAAAAGGGAATCAAGTCTTGTAACAAAGAAAACAAAAACATAACAATTACGTAAGGGAGCAATTCATGCAGAATCATTAGTTTACTCAAGGGACTGTTTGAGTGGTCACAGAGGATTTATTTGTAACAGTGTTTTTCTCTCATTGAAACATTAAGGAAAGGGGAATAACATAGGCAAAATGGATATAAAACTTTATTCAGCAATTACAAGGAAAGAAAATTAATTTCTGATGTGGTGTGAAGTTAGACGATGGATATAAAATAGGCCAAAATGGTAAACTATTGTCTGCAGATATTTCTGCTCTATTTACCCTTGCAGAACTTCCCAAACTGTCTTCATCAGATTCACGTCTTCGGTTGCAGTTTGAATGGCCCTATGTTAACGTAAAGATTTATATAATTTAATTTAGGTCTTGTGTGTTCCATCCATTGCTAAGGAACAATTTTTTACCAGCAAAACGAACACTGACTATGATGAAAAGAGCTTATATATTTTTTCTTCTTACTGAATTGATAAAATGTACAGTGCCAAAACTTTAATCCTATAAAAAGGAATTATTCCATTTGACAGACAAAAATGTCATCTTTTGTCTCCTCAAAGAAGACATTTTTGTTGCAAACTATCTGACAAAACGTTAAGCACAGTCGTATTTGCTCTGCACCAATCAAAAAAGCTCTTTAAAATAGGAAATATTTCTTTAAAATCGTATGATTTGTAAGAGTTACTAACTGCCCTATAGACATTCTGTACAAGTGTGATAATAGTTGACTGAAATTTAAACCTGTGCACTGCTTCAGGTCATATAACATGCAGCAGACCTGGAAAGCAGGGGGTGAGACAATAGCGGTCTTTGAAAGTCAGCCATACTCACAGATCTCTATTTTAACAGAAAACCTTTCACAATTGTAAACCGCAATGCAGAGCACCTCAAGAAACAACATGCAATCAAACAGAGTATTTTTAAGGTAATATTGGAAATACTAATTCCCTATAAGCAACTGCAATTAACATACTGGAATTGAACAATCTTGTTTAAAACTTATGGGAACGCCTCCCTAATTGCTGTCCATTGCACAAGTCAGATCAACAGAACAAAGAGAAAATTTAAACTCTTTCACTGAACTGCCCCATGAGGCCATAGGGCCTTGTTAAATACAAAATACAGATCTAACTTACCCTATCTCGATGATCCATATCTTCCAGGTCACTTCTCTTTTCACTGGGGCACCCACTGTCACCACCATTTTCAGAGTCCTACAGAAGACCAAAATGGTCGCACAGCATCAGTTATCAGTATATTTTCTTGTAAGGATTTCATCCTGCAGACACTCTAACTTCCACTAACTTCAGTGAGGGCCAAGAGGCCTGAGGGAGGTTGACATGGTTTGTGTGTCCTCTCTTGGATGCTATATATCCAATTAAGTAGGAGTAGCAACGTCAGTTGCTAAGGCCCTGCCTGGACTAAGAACTAGGAATGTGAATAGGTAACCGGTTAACTGGTTACCTGGTAAGCATCACCTTGCCCGGGTGAGACTGACTGGATACCGGTTAACCAGTGCCTGGAAGCGGAGACCTGCTCCACTGGTTAAATGTTAGGTTAACTTAACAGTTAACCGATTAAATCAGGATTTTACATCCCTCCTAACAAAATACCCTAAAAAGCGTCAAGTGAGTTTTTCTAACTGGCATTCAGAGAGATGAAATCCATGCCACAGAGGCCCCAGAAAGATTACACTAGGGCAAGGAAATAGACATCTTTACTTTGCGTTATAAAGTGTTGGGCATAAATTAACTTCTAGAGGAACAGATAAAATAAATGGTGATATATTTGATTAATATATAAAATGTTGTCCCTTTATTAGGGACAGTTGGTGCATATAACTTATATGGCCTTCCACAGAACTGAGGTCAGGCACACAGATTTTATTGTTTTTACTGAATGATGGCCACAGGCAATCCTTTAGAGACATTTACGGAAGCAAATGCAAACTCATCCTTTTTCAGAGAAACACTTACCCTTTGGTTATCAAGCTGATCATGGTCCTTGTGAACTAAGTTATCCACTTCGTTAAACACAGGCCATTCTAAGAAGAATAAATTTGTGTTTATTATTCTGGAAATAGATGATGATGTGCCAGGAAGAAGCTCTGGGTAATCATCTTATTTCTATTACAGGGTTTTCAAGAAAAAATCCTCAAAGAACTGAAGACACAAGTTGAAATACAGACATGTTTTTGGTTCTATTATTAGCTCTGTCAAGTGATTAAAAACTTTAACTGCAATTAATCACGCGATTAATCGCGTGTGCCTCCCCTTTGAAACTGAAATGCCACAATGAGTCCCCAGCTGTCCCCGGGCTCCATGCAGCGCTGCCCCTTTGAAACACTGTGGTGGCGCATCAAAGGGGCAGCACAACAGGGAGCCAGGGATCAGTAGGGAAGTTAAAGACTAGTCGTTCCTCCTCCCCCCCCCACCTTTGCTGCCTCTATTATATAGAGACAGCAAAGAGGAGGGGGAAGGGGTACTTCAAAGTGGCAGCACCACACAGCTGTATGGCAATGCCGCTTTGAAACCCCAAAGTGGCATTTCAACGGGGCAGCTGCCGTGGAGCCCGGGGTCAGCTGATCCTGGGCTCTGCGCAGCATTTTCCTAGCTGACCCTGGGTTCCACTGCCACTGGGAGCCCAGGATCAGCTGGGAAGTCCCCAGATAACCCCGGGCTCAACAGCTGTCCCTTTAAAACTCTGCCTCTAGTGTTTCAAAGGGGCAGCTGCCCTGGAGCCTGGGGTCAGCTGAGCATTGCCCAGCTGATTGTGGGCTCTTGCACGGCAGCGGAACCCAGGGTCAGCTGGGGACTGCTCAGGTTATTCTGGGCTTTGCGCGGCAGTGGAAGCCGGGGTCAGCTAGGGGCTACCAGCTTATCCTGGGCTCCCTGCACCAACAGAACCTGGGGTCGGCTGGTGGCTCCCCAGCTGACCCTGGGTTCTGCTGCTATGCAGAGCCCAGGATCATCTGGGGAGTCCCCAGCTGACCTTGGGCTCTAGGGCTACCCCTTTGAAACACACATGAAGGGGGCATTTTAAAGGGGCAGCGGCAGCACAGCTGATCCCTGGCTCAACTGAGAGACGGTTGCTCCTTTGAAATGTCGCCTCTTTGCATTTCAAAGGAGCAGTGGAGCCCAGGGTCAGCTGGGGACTCCCCAGCTGATCCCAGCCTCTGTGTTGCGCTGCCCCTTTGAAGCACCACAGTGTCACTTCAAAGGGGCAGTGCAGCATTAACGCCTGTGATCAAAGTGTTAAAAAAATTAACATGTTATTCTTGGACGGCATTAATCGCAGGTGTCAACACACGCCAACTGACAGCCCTAATTATTACTAGGCAGAAATATGTTTAGACATAGCAATGGTGGAAGAGGAACTTCTGGAATAAATAAAACCAGACACTCAAAATAAAATGCCTAGAAGCCCAAAACTAACATTCACAAAGTTGAATACATAGAAGGCAGGTGGCTCACTCACGAAGTGTGTCCATTTTATGTGGTGTTGCTGAGCAGGGAGAAGAGGGTAAGGAGTCAAATGCCACGTCACTCATGCTTTCATCTCCAGAATTTTCAGACAGGCGGAAAAGCAGAGGAGGCCGACTACCAGACATTGTTCTCACCCGGCTACTGCCACATTTTTCCTCTGTGCCACGCAGAATTGTCTGAGCAGATTCCTTGGTAAAGGAACAGGAAAACCTATCACTCATGTTTTCCTTCACTCTATTCTGAATACGGTATGTATATGAACACACACAAATGTTTAGTAATGGGCTCATGCATATAAATACATGTATACGTGTCATGCATACAGATACATATAAAGGAAAAGACACACAAATGAAATCGTAGCCCCACTGAAGTCAATGAGAGTTCTGCTATTGAGTTCAACAGGGCCAGAACTTCATCCCAAAAATTATAGTCCAAATTCTGCATTCTTTAATCAAGTAAAACTCCCGTAGAAAACAACTAGAGTTTTGTTCAGTTACAGAATGAGCAATGTGAGTCTTTGTTCCATAATTATCTGTTGTCACCATGATCTTCAGAACCTACTCATGATTTGGGTGCTTTAAGATCTATTGTATGAATGCGCTACAGAGTTTCATGCTCAGATCTATAGCAGCAATTTAGGAACCAATAGCGAATAGGTCAGCATCAGACTACTGTATTTTATATTTTGCACAAAGAAACTTACAAGCTGTTTGTTACAGTGATCCAAGACATGCTTCTCTTTAGGTGAAAGATCAAAAGGTGTAAGTCCCATACTTTTGCAAATCTTGTTACAGGCATGAGAATGAAAGAACAAAGCCATACCCCGTACGCCTGGAGATATAAAAGAATTTAGAGAAGAAAGATTTAATCAGTGTGAGAATAGATTCTAGAAGCCCTGAATGCCTTCCTCCAAATTATTTCTCTCTCTTTCTTAGGGACACAGGGAGGAAGGGAGGGACGGATGCATGCATGCACACACACACCCCCTTTCTGTTTTAAAATCTATGATAACTTTTCTCTATCATCCCGCTAAAACATCATTTACAAAATGTTAAAGTATTAAAAGCTCTGGTTCTAATACTTGTAAGATATATTGCAGTAATCAATTAAAAAAAAACAACACAGGACAAAATTCAATCCTAGACAAAAGACTGGCACAATCTCTAGGCAGATCTGAATGTGAGAGCAACTGGAGCTTAAACCATCAACAAGGTTCTTCCTCCATCCATTCTGCTGCATACATTGTAGTGATTTGGCACGGAATTTAAATGGCTGGGATTCACTACTCACACTCTGCAGGAAGTTTGTTAATCTCAAACTTAACTGGTTTAAGCTGGGAGGACATGGAAAATGTTTTTCTTTTTAAAACAGGCACCCTGAGTCAAGACCAACTTTTCTATTTTAAATTCATAATTTTGCAGAGCATAACATGGGATTGGGGTACTTTCTCATACACAGCACAAATTAGCACACTTAAGGTGAAAGTTTCCCAACTGATCATCAGGAAGTTGCCCGCTCTTCTCATTGCCATGTTAGTGCTGCTCAGCAGACAGCTTAGATGGAAAAAAAATGTTCAGCAAAACATTAACTAACACTGTCGATTTTACCTAGGTTGCCGTCTCCAAAGTCTGTGCCACTCTCCGTGTGGATCTGAGGGTCGGTATAAAGATCTCCAACTCCCTGGATATCAACAATTATGAGCTGGTGTCCTGAGCGCTCAAATGTGAAGTGGCTAAAGGCCTGTGGGGAATTGTAAATAATTAAGTGGTGGTGAAGGAACTCAAAATAATATAAATGGGCAAACTTAAGTCTCATTTTATTCAAAACAATAAGATGCATGAATATTTCTCTCAATTTTTTCACTGACTCCTGAAGAACAGTTCATTATAACATCCTGGGCCTGATTTACCACTGATAAACCAATGTAAATTTGGAATAACCCACTGGTATTTTAGGCCCAGTGTAAATAGAAGGATAATAGCTAGAGATGGAAAAGTCCTACTACATCAGAGTCTAACCCTTGCAAGAGCAGGGCACAGCCCTCTGAGACAGAATCAATCTAAGACCACACTTGGTGGCAAATCTTGGTTGCCTTACTCACAAGACGTCAACAGGAAAGCTCGTGTAGGAAAGCCAGTAGGATTTGGCATGTGGCCTGTAATTGTAACTCAAAGGCAGGAAAGAAACAAAGTCTATTGCTGACAATATTGTTGAATATTACTCTGCAGATTGTACATGAAGGTGCATTATCCTCAGTGAAAAATACTAACTAAAAACAAAGGCATAAGCCTTAAATTAAATATGGGGGTGGGGTGGGGGAAGATTTGTTCCCCAGAATCCACATGGGGAGAAGACCTTTATATGCAAATCTCCAATATGGAAAGGGGGGTCCTCCATACTGGATCCCACATAGTGGGGAGTGGATGGGCTATAGGGCAAGAATGGGAAGGTCAAACAGACAAGCTGAGGGGGTATATGCCTCATTCCCTCCTCCCATGGAGCCCTCCTCTTTTAAAGGTGGAATTCAGAAACAGCTGTTGCAAAGGATGGCACTAAGGAAAGCAGCAGCAGGGTGAGGGGTCACAGAAGCTTGACACTAAGAACCCTGCATCTCCAGATGTCAGGGCTATGGGGTTCAGGGACATGGCCTATATTAGTGGGCTCTTTAAATATTGCATTTAAAGTATGCCAAGCACAAAAATAATCCTGCTCTTTTGCAGACAGCTGGGACATTTGGCATCTCCTGGGAAGGCCTTCAAGAGGGCCCTGCAGGGGCTTGTTTTAGATAAATATTTTAGTGCAGCAAATTTTATGAAAACATTTGTTCCCAGCCTCTGAAAGGATAGTGCAGATTCCACAATAAACAAAAAACCAGCCACGATACAAACTCTCCATCCACATTAAAAAAAGGAGGTGAATATGAAAAATGTTTACAATTCTGCCTGTGTGGCACCTTCTAATATTTGTTTGAATCCTTTTATTAGAACCATGAGATTTAACTGAATCACATGGGTTGCTGGTTTATTTGTATTAGCTGCTTTATTGCTACAGAAACGACTCCTGGTTCACTTTCTCAGAGACAGGAATTAGCAGGTGTTAATTGGCTATGCTGATTTACATCAATTGGCCCTTTATGTTATATATTATACTGATTTAATAGAATACCATTTAGGATCTAAAAGCTTGAACCCTTATATTTTTTAAAAACCTGAGTTTGCAAAATCTGCCCCTGCTAAGATTGGATACTAATTACAATAAGGCCTAATATTCCAAGGTATTAAATGCTTTCACTGAGGTGCTGAGCACCCTGAACTCCCACTGAAGACTGTGTAAGCTGAGTGGTCTAGGTAATCCTCAGGAAGTACTCAGGATCTTGCAGGATCTGGCCCTAAATGAAAAGAGCCCAAGCTGTAACCGGATACATTAATTCTGTGCCATTCTGGAAGATCTGAAAATGTCTTTTCCCAGCAAAAACAAGTGGATCTTTCAGTCAAGCCAAGCAAATCCCTGCAACAAGCAGGGAGTACTCTAAGCAGCACTAAAGGCTCACTTGTGGGGTAAGGCGAATGTTGTCATCTCGTACGAATCCAGAGTTTGAGTTGTATTTGATGTACTTCCCCTCGATGTAATGTTCCAAATGAAACAAGGGCTTTCCAGGTCTGTTCTTCATTTCAATAATACTGGTCTGCACTATATCAACCTGGGAAAGGAAGCAAGAAACTCTGACAAATGAGGATTCCGTTCTAATTAAGAATAAAACATGTGAATTCTGCAGCTAAGTAAACTTTGTCAGTGAACATTTGCAAAAACTTGTTTATTTAACAATGAGAGTGGAGAGTCATGTGCTCTCGGGATTACTGGCAGAATTACATAAAGCAGCAGCAGTCCCTTGAAAAACAATTTCAGTTCTTTTTGCTTGAAAGCACAAAGACAAATCCTTTGGAAAAAACTTTTAGCAGTCATATGATTTTTTTACTGGGCACTTCTGAAGTATGTTATAACAATCTGTAGACCTGCATTCACACAGAGAGGGACATGGCATACAATTTGCTAATTTACACCCATCAAATAGCACTACAGCAATGGAGCGAAGACCCACTTGGTCTTTTACAAATTTAGGGTGATTTCAGAAACCCCTGCCTCCACAGGAGAAACCAACACAGGTCACTTTAAGTGACTCGGTCCAGCTGATTTGTTTTCAGAGGTAAAGAAACTCCTGATGGCCAGTACATTTCAGCTCGAAATGAAGGTCACTGGAAAGTGAGTGGGGGGAGGGGGATGTTGCTTTAGCAATAAAGGCCTATTGAACCCTCTGATATGGCTGGTTTACTCATGAAAAAGTAAATCCAGAGCCATACATGTGGTTCTAAAGCTTTAGTTTCCACTGTTGGTAGACTCTTTTTCCATTCCTCAGACCTCTGTGTGAGGGAGGTCTTGCCTCCTTTGAAATACCATCTATTAAATATTTGCTAGGCAAACACAAATGTATTTTGTAGCATCCCTGATTGTTATGAGAACAGGCATATCCCTAGAAAAGGTGTCTAGAAATCTTGACTAAAATGACTTAACTTTGCTTTTGCCTATTCTCTGACAGTAGGTTAGATATTTGCATACAATGGCCTTAGACGCATGCACGAGATGTTTAGCATTATCTTTGTTGAAATGCAACTACAGTAAAACCATTATGAGCCATACCGCTTTATCTGAGTAATTAACTGGCATTGACCTTAATGGGATTTGCACAGATAAATCCACCTGAATTGCTTTGAAAAGTCACCCCTCAAAACAGAAAATCTGAATTGTTTGCTCATTGGGTCTCTTGGTGCTTTGTGGTACCTGTTTTGGTGGCTTGTGCCGATTATACTCCTCTCCCCAAAGTTTTGCTTCCATTTGAAGTCGTACATCCTCAAAGTAGACATCCCTGTCTACAGTCTCGATATATCGCTTAGCAACATAGTTAAATGCACCTTTCCAATTCTGCGTGTGTAAAAAATTGGACAGCTTTTTCCTGGAAGGCAAACGAATTATAGATAAAAGGGAAACTGAGAACTTGGATTCAATATTCCCCATTCCCTCACTTCCCAAAACACCAACATTCAATGTGCTAAATTCTTCCCTCAATAGCAACTTAAATCAGTATCTGAATGAGTCTGAACAGATATTACAGTTGAAACAACAAAGTTTGAACACACATCAGGGATGAGGGAAAAAGCAGGATCTTGTAAGAACACTTTGCAACACTGAAAGACAGCCTGCAACATAACAGAACAACCTCATGGCTCAGCTGCTATAATGTAGTACTTTCTCCTTACCCTCTCGCTTCTCTTCTGACCTGACTCAAACCAATGCATGAGATAAGGGGTGTTTGTCTCAAGGGCTACGTCTAGACTGGCATGATTTTCCGGAAATGCTTTGAATGGAAAACTTTTCCGTTAAAAGCATTTTCGGAAAAGCGCAAAAGTGCTTTTGCGGAAAAGCGTCCGTGGCCAATCTAGACACGCTTTTCCACAAAAAAGCCCCGATCGCCATTTTCGCAATCGGGGCTTTTTTGCGCAAAACAAATCTCAGCTGTCTACACTGGCCCTTTTGCGCAAAAGTAATGCGCAAAAGGGACTTTTGCCCGAACGGGAGCAAGAAGCACTGATTTCTTACAGTAGGAAGTCAGTGCTTTTGTGGAAATTCAAGCGGCCAGTGTAGACAGCTGGCAAGTTTTTCCGGAAAAGTGGCTGATTTTCTGGAAAATCTGGCCATTCTAGAGACAGCCTAGCAGTTGTTGTAAACCAAGCTCTTTGGCTTGTAGAAAATTAAAAGTGGCTGCTCCTCTAAGGGCAAACTGCTGTGTATGTAACACATCAATCACCTTATGGCTAGGAACAAATACTGCAACTTGGAGTCCTCCTTTCACTGCACCGCTAAGGCCCTGTCAATATAAAAGTCCTTAAGACATGAACACTTAAGAGTGAAGAAAGAGTGATTGCAGGACAACTGCTGGATGCTAACTAATGAAAGTGATTGGGAGGTTGGGGTGGGGGGGAGCAAAACACAAGAACCCCCCCCCAAAAAACAATGAGTTTCTAGACTTCACAGGCAAAACTTCTGAATGTGGGGCCCTCCATTCCCTTTGCTTTCTTCTTTCACCTTTCCCCAGCAGACCAACCACAGTGTGTGCCTTGCCTAGTCATACAGGACACAGGGAAAAAGAAAGAAGGGAGCGCATGGTCTTTCTGTTGGGTGTTTTAATTTAACAGAGGTCAAGGCAAAAGCTATGAAGACAGACCAGAAACAGTAACCTGTGCTATCAGGAAGATGCTCCTAGCCAAACTGAGGGTGAACAGCAGCACTCTGGAGGAGGAGGAGAAGAAGGTGGTGAAGTAGCACCTGAAGTCATGTCCAGTTAGCCCCTGGTGGTTCTCAAACTATGACCAGTGGCCAACAATGGTACACAGAACCTCTCATTGACCTGCAGAACGGCATTTTTGGGAACCGAGCAGTGCCATTTAAACTCTTCTTTTCAAGAGTAGAGTAGAGGAGAGTTTATGAGAAGATCTCCTTCTTGCAAAATAGTTCAAAGCAAAAATACTGGCGAGCAACTGCTGCCCAGGGAGGGAGCCCATCACACTGCTGTTGCTGGGGAAGACACAGAGTGGCTATGTTGCACATCCTCAAAGGAAGGGGTAAGCAGGCAACAGTGAGAGTATAGGAGTTCCAACAGGGATTTCAGAGCTGCTAGGCTTCCCAGGGAATCACTCTTTTTTGCCCAAGAGAAGCCTGATCACATGCTCTTCTGTACTCTCCACTGTTTACTAAGCACCTTTCCTTAGCATTCTAAGGAGGGAAAACATGTGGGGGAAAGCTATCTACATGCAAGTGTGCAGCAATCAGAATAGAGCATGTACTGTGAGTATCACTGTGGCCCCCCGGGGCTTTCCAAGTTGAGTAGGAGAATGCAGCGCGCTGTCTCTTCTGTGATCTGTCCCCTATGTGGTGACTAGAGCGCTGGTGGGATACAAGGAGAAAGAGAGAACAGTTGTGCCTGGACTCTGTGAGAGCACAGCTAGGAGGCTCTTTGCATCTTCCTTTCCTTGCACACCCATGCAAAGACCAGGCACAATTTGGCCCACCCACAGAGGCTGTAATGTGGTTCTCCACCTAGTCATGCTTTCACCCAGCAGGGAATTTTACTCTCTCTCTTCATTCCAACCCTTCTTGTAAAAAAGAACAATTACAGCAAAACCGCTGCGCTCACAACAGGAAACATGACCAAGAAAAAGCTGGGGGCTACTTACGTTCTGAAGCACTCCCGCATTGCTCCACGGCCAAAGGGCTGGAAAAAATCCAAAGACGGTCATCTTATAAAGTTAATCAGTACGTGACATTTCCACAGCCCCATTCCTCCTGCATGATATCCCGGCACCTCACAAATTACCCATGTACACCAGCGCTTGAAATGCATCCTTTTCTGAAATGGAGGGTGGTAACCAGCTGGCCAAAAGCAGCAGGGAAGAGGAATTTGGGGAATGGCATGTGGGGCAAATCACTCTCTTCTCAGGAAAAGTGCCATGGGATCTGTAATGTCTCTGCAGGACAGACAGATTTTTGCTTTTTATGATCCAATTCCAAATATCTGTTCAGGCTCAAGTTAGCTGATTTGTGACCGCCCAAAACAGCTGACTTCAAAATTCTCAAGCCCAAATTTATCTCTGAGTGATCAATGTGATCTGCAGGCTGACACCACTCTAAATACCATGCACTTCTACAGTCACGCAGACCAAGCAGCTTCCAAAACTTCTCAAGTGACTCCTTGTTTTAAGCAGGAGATAATGGTGGTCCTGGCTTAATGAGCAGGAAACCAGGCCCATTTTTTGCCCCCTGAAAAGCAGAAATTATTTGGAAGTCTCAAACACAAGGCTGGCCAGGATGCTAGGCAGCGGGCTGTGTATTAGTCCTGGATTCTGCCCAAAGCAGCCAGGCCAGCTGGAGCTGGGAGTGCTGAGGGCAGCATGCTCAGCTCCTGGTGGGAAGTGTATTAGGGATGTTAAATATCAGTTAATTGAATAGTTGAGTAACCTCATGAATTCTTATCGGTTACTCAACTATTCTATAGTCCTGAGGAGCCCCCTGCCACTTCACACTGCAGCTTCTGTGTCAGAGGCAGCGGCGCGCGGTGCCAGGCAACAGCTGGTCTGCAATGGGAGCCAGTTTAAAAACCATCTCTCCTTGCAGACCAGGTGCCTGTCGCCCAGTGCTACTGCCTCTGATAAAGAGGCAGCGGGCAGTCTGAGCTCCCGGATCCAGTGCAAGTTGGGACTGAGTCAGGCTGCCTGTCCGCCCGACTCCTAATATATTTTAAATGCAGAGCTGCAGCAGCAGTAGGTACCAGACCCATCAAAAGCCAGGACTGAACCGGGCTGCTGGCCAGCCTGCAAAAAAGTGTACTGGTGAGGGAGTGGGAGAGAAATGCATGTAGTCGATAGCATTAACCTATAAGCTTTTACTTATCGGTTAATCGGCTACACTATTACATCCCTAAAGTGAATGCCTCACGGTCACTCCTCTCTGGTTGGCATTTGCATAGCTGCTGCTGGGCTGGGGAAGAGCTGCCTGTTCATATTGCTCTACTCCACTGAAAGGAAGAGTACGGACACAAAACCTTAAGGGAAACAAAGGAATAACGTGAAAAAAGGGAACGATCCTGAGGTCTGAAAGCCTCTTAAACCTCCACTAGGTACCTTTCCCTAGCTTAATCTATATTAAGAGGGGACTAATAAATATCCCCACTACTACTACAGTAAAACTCCAATTGTCCGGCATCCAGTGGTCTGGCACTCCCGATAGTCTGGCACCAACTGGAACCCAGAAGTGCTCCAGCCAGCCGGACAATTGGAGCTGCTCTGTACCACTTCCCCAGCCGCTGCTGAAACTGACCAGCTGAGGACTTAGGGAAGCGGCGCGGAGCAGAGTAGCTGGGGGGGGGCTGGGTTGGTCCCACAGCACCACCGCTCCTCACCCCCTTGCTTGGCTCCCGGCAGCACCCCAGCTACTCTGCCC